GAAAACGTATCACAACCGTAAGGAGAAAGAGAAGCGCTGGAGTGAAATCCCTCAGTTTTGACCGTGTACGGGGGTGGCAGGGGGAGTCACGAGCAGGGGGTCTGGGGGCTTTACTCAAGTTAAAACACTTTCATCATCCTCATGAATGTATGCTGGTTTACCTAATGGCTGCGACACACACCAGTTTTTGTTCTGTGCTGATCACAATCGAATCCTTTCATTATAACATACAGAGTGTATACACGATGATGTTAATAATATATTAATTGCACAGTGTGAGATTCATTGGTCATAACAGAACTTTGTGAGAGCACAATGAACTAAGAGTGACAGTTTTTAGTGGTTAAAAAAGGAGCACTCTTTGCGAGCTTTCTAGGCAATAATCCATTTTAAATGTAGAACTTTGTTTTTCGGCCACACACACGTTGCAAAGTTTCGGGAATGACATCCGCATATTTATGCTGGATTCGCTCTCGAAGTAGTAGTGATTGACATGGTGAAAACCAAAGCAATAGATGGGACAAAATATGTGAAAATGTGCATTAAGATTAGAGCACCCTCACTAATGTCAGAAGCACCCTCAGTGATTATTTCTTGTTGGTACGCTTTTTGTATAGCCTACAAAAACAACAAAATACAAATGCACTAAATAAAATAATTTCATAAATGCATATTTACAATTTAAGCACTTAACTAAAATAAGTATAAAATAAGTATTAAGTATTAAACTGGTTATAGTCAGCCTTCTCTAGTTATTTATTTAATTATTTAATACTTATTTTAGTTGAGTATTAATTATTTAATACTTAACTAAAATAAGTATAAAATAAGTATTAAATTATAAAATAAGTATTAATTATTTAATACTTAACTAAAATAAGTATTAAATAATTAAATAAATAACTAGAGAAGGCTGACTATAACCAGTTTGCTTCCATTTAGTAAGAAAAGTCTATACTCTTCACCTGAATTAGAAAAAAAAGCTCTTCTGGTGTTCAGTGATGCGAGGACAACGTTTGAGCATGTACACGCAATAGGCTATCTGAGCGAGAGCAGAGCCAATTCATGAAATAAAAAAAACAATGTATAGTTAAAAGCACACGTCCAGTTTTGTATGAGTGAAGAAATCCACGTGCGGATTCTTGCGGTGAGATTCTTGCTCATGCCTTACATGGATCGCGTAACATGCGCTCTCGACATTTGTCAAGTCAAGTCAAGTCAAGTCACCTTTATTTATATAGC